TCGGGCCACAGGCCAGTCACCTTTTTTCCTTGTCTATGGGGCAGAAGCAATGTTGCCGAGTGAAGTCGAATTCGAGTCTTTGCGCTTTCGTAATTTCCGCGAAGAACGCTACGAAGAGGACCGAGTGGATGATTTGCACCGATTGGAAGAAGTCCGCGAAGCAGCTTTGATTCGGTCGGCTCGATACTTACAAGGGTTGCGGCGTTATCATAATCGCAATGTTCGATCCCGTGCCTTTTTAGTCGGCGACCTGGTTTTGCGGAAAATTCATACTACACGAGATCAGCACAAGTTATCTCCTCTATGGGAAGGGCCATTTATCATCTCTGAAGTCACCCGGCCAGGTTCCTATCGACTCAAGCGCGAAGACGGTACACTTGTCGACAACTCTTGGAACATTGAACATCTTCGTCGTTTCTACGCTTAAGCTTATCATTGTACTTCCCTATCTTGACTGTCAACATCAAGTTTTCTTCTTGACATTGTCAGTCGGGGGCTATCATCATAATAATGGAGTGTGATTTTTTATTAATTTAATTTGCTTACTTGGTCTATCATTGCCTTGTTTGGTTTTTCTACTTAGTCTGCGAGGACTGAAAGTTTTTAATAGCTTCTTTGGGTTTTAGGCTCAACAAAGCTTGATAAAAGCTTTTAAGAAATCAAAGACTTGGCTAGATTTATCAAGCACAGCATAAATACACCAGTATTGTACAAGTTATGCCTCCATTTGCTACATTTATACTCAGTCAGAATCAGTCTTTTCATCATCAGAGTTATTACTACTTGGCTGAAGGTCGGTATTGCGGAATTGGTCTACAACGTCACTTGCAATCTTGTCAGCCGCGTTTTGAGCATTGCTGATAAGATCAAGAGCAGTTTCTTCGCTTGTCCCGTCTGCAAAGCCATCAATGGCGTCAATTTCAATCCTTGGGTACAAGGATTTGGTCATCGCCAATGCCATGCTAGCTCCCATACTTCCAGCTTTCTTGATATTCTTGAAATATACATCCGGAGCAACTCTCAGCTTGTCGAAGATTTCGGTTGCGTCGAGTGCACTCGGACCACTGTTATTGAGGAACATAGCTTGGACAAGTGGTGTAGCGACATTAGCGACTTCATCTCTTGCTCCTTCAAGCCTCTTGATCTTACCAACCAGGACGTCAAATTGAGCTTGAGATTTGATTTTGCGGTCTACAAAACACATTTATGATCAAAATCTACTGCATTACAAAGAGAGAAGTTCAGATTGTCAGCTGGTGGTACCTTCAACTTCCTTCAAGGCCGAGTCCCTTTGCGCAGCCAATTCTACCTTGTCTCTTTCCAGGGCTTCAATTTGTTTCTCCATTTGAGCCATCCTGGCGGCTTGCGCTGTTTTGAAATCCAAATGGTTGAGGATACAGTTACGACAGCGTAAATTAATGGGACAGATATAGAGATTACCCTTTGATGAACCACTCAGCTCGAAGTTTGAATCCTGGAGCTGGGCAATTCGGTCCCTTAATTCCTTCTCTGTCTTTTTGGCGAGCTCCTTGGCCTCGTGTAGCTGGTCCCTAACTGCTTCAAGAGTTCCCAAATGAGGAACCAGCTTTTCTAAAGTTGCAGTCTTGGCCTCATTGCGAAGATGGATTCTCTGCATGATGGTTCATGGTTTAGATTTGCTGAAGAGAAAACAAAGTCATCAAAGGCAGTCACCCGGAAGATTTACATTCACAATGCGAGTAGCTTCTCCAAGTGCCTTCTTCAGCTGGCACACTTCCTCATCTTCTTTTTGACGATTTATGACGATGCCGGCAGCTTGTGAGTTCTCGTCCCACCATTTGAGCAAGATAGGAGGACGAGAGTTATCAGCCGCCTTTATGCAAGGAATTTCTTCTTCGTCATCGCCTGGTGGTCCTGATGTATTTCCAGGATATTAGACGAATAAGCTGAAGTTATTTAAATCGGCATCACTTGAGAAGATGAGTTACTTGAGGGTGTTCCTAGCTGAGCGTGGGGTGATCCTTGTTCTTTATTTGGAGACCCAATCATCGAGTCGTTGCCAGCCTCAGGTTCTTGAGAAGTCGTCGTCTGCGCTTCAACTTCGGGAATTTCTTGATCTGGACCTACATCCGACTGGTTTCCAGTCGGGGGCTCTTGGGTTGTTGTAGTTTCAGTTGCTGTCGACTGGTTTCCCGTCGGAGGCTGGTCACTCGGATCGGCTTTATTACCTGAAGTATGGGCGCCAGTCGGCTGGCTCTCGGCAGTCGGCTCAGAATCCTTGGATAAACTTGGCTCTGTCACAGCCGGATCAGGATCTTTTCCAGTTGGATCTATGTCGGATGGTTTCCTGCAAAGTGTTCTTTCAATATTCAGTATTATTTCTATGAGAGAAGCATGTCGAAGGGAAATGGCACCAAGAGGTTTATACCTGGAAGATGTTCTAATCTTTGGCACTGGGCGGCCAGCCAGTTTTTTCCTGGGAGTGGTTCGCTTTGGGAGTTTATTGGGCGTGCCTTTGTCCCCAGATTTGTTGCCGTCGTCGCCTTCGTCGTCATTAAGCACCAGCTTTCTCTTGCGAGAACCTGTCTGCCCAGTCGGTTTGGAGGTTTGAGGTTGCGGGTCTGATCTGATTGTTGGCCCTCCACCTCCCTGAACGGAGTGCTGGCGAGGAGACCGGCGCTGAGTGACTGGGGGGTCAGATTTCATCAATGCATATTCCTGAATAAGACGCCTCCACGGTTAGTTAACTCAACATGAAGACAAGGTTATGTTTTGATCATGGGTTGAAGATTTCGGATACATACCTGCGGAGGCGGATTGAAGGCGTTATATGGCACAACTGGCAGCTGATGTGAGTAGCTGACGACAATAGCATTTGAGAAGATTTTATACATTCTCTCCTTCATGATTTTAAAATCCAGAGAGTCTGGTTCTTCACGATTAGGATCATGCTTGCCGTCAAACTCGAATGCCGTACGGGATCTTTCTTTAATTGGTGCCAATCGGCATTTGATGAAATGCCGAATAATTTGCTCTCCTTGTAAGCCTTGTTCTTTGAGTTTTAGCATGCGATCCATCAACTCCAAGGCTTGGGCAGCTTCATCCCCGATTGGAAGAGAGTTCCAAGTATCTTGGTACACTGGAGGAAGACAAGAGTACTCGGGAAGAGCAGGCTCGGGATTCTGAACATAAAACCAGTTCGCATGCCACCCTTTGTTTGAAGTCTTGAAGGGCATCGAGAAGTACTTCTGGCTCAGAGTCCCTCTCAACTGAAATCCGGCCCCTCCAACTACACATGGCTTACTCTTGTTCGGTTGGGGTTTGAGAAAGAAGATTCGGCGAAACAGAGCGAAGTGGGGTTTAATTCCCAAGAAGGCTTCACAAACATGGATGAAATTGGCGATGTGGACTATGGAATTTGGATTTAGGTGATGCAAGCTGATTCCATAGAAGCTTAATATCCCGCGGAAAAATTTTGAGGTCGGAAGAGCGAAGCCGCCGTAGAAGAAATGGGAAAAGACTACAACCTCGTGTGTATCGGGGGACGGAAAAGCCTCACCGCACGCTGGCCACCACCCGATGATTTCCTTGGCCGGGAGAACGCCGTGCGCCACCATCTCCTTCAGGTTCTCTTCCGTCACGTCGGATGGCGTCCATTGGCCTTCAAAGCTTTCTTTCTCTTCCGCCATCGATTTTACCCGAATGCGCTGATTTGATTCGAGGGATGGCTAGGGAGAGGTGAGGGATTGAGGCGGCGGATCACGGGAAGGATTTTGATGCACTTTTCGAAGGTGGATTTGAGTGGAATGGTGAACCCTAGTTTGCCGGCGCAGCTCTGTACTGTAGCAGGGAGTGGGGAAAATGGCGAGAGTTCCGGCGGGGAAGACGAAGTGACGCTTGGGTCTCGGAATTTCTTGTTAAGGGTATCGGAGGTGCGAATGGGCTTAGGCCTGAACAGTACCTCAGCCCAGTACTTTTGACAGCGTGGCCCATTGTGCTCCTTAGGGACTTAGGCATTTTTTGCTTTGGCAATTTATGCGCACAATAGTGTTGCCCAATGCTGATAAAATCCTTTTTACGCGGTCATATAATTCTTTGGAATTATTGCAATGCAAATTAAAAGGTGCCCGACAGAAAGGTGTTATGTTGTTTTTGTAAGCTTTTTTAGGCTACAAAAGCTGTCTGGGTTAACTTGGAATGGCTTGTTTTTACCATAGTCATTTCCCTGGTATGTTATATGCCTGTTTTCATTATGGTAAATAGTCATAGCCTAGGCTATTAGACTTATTCATTACCATAATTTTTATAATATTTGGTGGGTAATCTTTAGAATTTTTTATTCGGATGCCTGTCAAGTGTGTTCATTCGTGGACCTTTTAGAGTGTTAACCACTCGGATTCCTTTTATTATGGCTAAAAAGCAGTCGGCTAGAATGCCTCTTTAGGCGCCGCGTATGCTTTTGTCATATGATGCACGATTGTGCTATTATTTTGTTCTCAACTATATGTTTAGTTTGTTAACTAATCACATAGTTGGGGGCTACACCTAATTAGGTGCATCTATTCGATGCACCATATTCTTTATCTTTTCGCCCTTTACAGTCTTCGTCTTCGCTACTCGGCAGGCCTTGGCATGAAAAGTTTGAAGCACTCGGATTATTATCTTTGAGAAGGCTATGATGGTTGACTGCAAAGGTCTCGGGGGCTACTGTGGAGATTATGGATATCCCATATCTACACGGCGATGATATTTGGACTGAATATAGGATACCGAATATAGATAGAATATCTTATTTGTATCTCGGGTTTGTTTCTCAACTTGTACATCAAGGAAATACCTTGAGACTTAGTCGGTTACGACTGTATTTTATCTGTATCTGCATATTCCGTTAGGGATATAGATTATCTTTTGTAACACGGACTCCTTCCCATATATAAGGGGGGTCCGGGTGCCTCTAGGGGCAGTTGTTGATTTTCTCCAAATTATACAATCAATAAGACACTCGGCGGATTCATCCCCGGACAGGAATAGGGTATTACTTCTTGAATAAGAAGGCCTGAACCTGTATAAATCCTTTGTCTCCAAACCCATACACTTCTCCAGCTTGATAGCCACCCCCTTTTATTATTGCCGAAATCTAGTTTCGACATGAACTATTCTTGATAGACATGTCAGCTAGAAAACAAGAAAAAAGGACACACCCACGGCATCAAAGTATCAAGACCTCCACTAGCTGTGTTAAGTCCATCTTGTTCCAGAATACAGCCAACCTTCGTCTTGTTCATCTCCTAACTTGCTTGTTACTTATGCAGAACTGTACAGGAAGAAATCCAAGAACAAATAAACTTGATTAGCTTTTGCAGACTGTTAATAAACCAGCGGCTAAGCCATCAAATGTATGTGAGATAATATCAATCTTACTCCAGAAGTGCTATAAATTATATTTGATAAATTTAACCAAAGGGTATTTTAGAAACAGAGGATCCAGAGTCTCATCTTGAGAGCAACATTGCAACCCCTCTATTTACCTTTCCAACCTCTCCTAAGCAATTTAAGTATAGTTAAACTGCTATTTCCCAAAATAAGGTGTAAGCTTCAATTTTAATTTCATCCTCTCACAGAAATGCAGGTGTTCTATTGAAACAGTGTTCATGGTCATGAGACCAACCTGAACCATCGAATTTGGATGCTACATTAGGCACTTCAACATAAGAATTGCATAGGCTTATGATCTATATCCAAAAACATACCTGAAAAACAATGGATACATCCAAAAACTGTTGTTCTCTTCTTATTCCTTAAGATATATATCTAAATAGTTCTAAATAAATTGAAATCAAGTTTTTTGGGTACTTGACAAATTTTGACTAGCAGTACGCCAGTAACATATTGTAAGTGACCATTCATTAAATCTGTCATTGAATGTCACCTGAAAAGCTATGGTTTTGCCAGAACAAGTCCAACAGGCCAAGAAACAATCAAGAAAGGTAAACACTCTGAAGAAGTTCAAGAAAATTCCCTACATTTGATCTTTTCTTAACCAAAATTTTATGAACATAAAAGTAGTAGAACAAAGCAAATTCCTTTGCATCAACCACATTTCAACATAAAACAGGGGTATTTCTTAAACTTATTTAATCACATCCACTTGGTATCCTCACAGTAAATGGAAGCACCTCATGCAGCAACACACAGCATTTCCATTGAACATCTCATTACACCCTGCACGAGCACAAAGATTCCAATCTGGCTCTACTAATCCATCATGCCCATCTCCATGCTCAGCGGGGAGGCGCTTAATAGGAAGCATGTGACGCCCGTCCTCTCCAACCATTACCTGGAATCACATTTAGAAGTAATTACGCGAACAACACAGGAAACTATTTACTTACAATATTAAGTACTCACATGAATATCTTGGCCAAATTCCACTGGGAGCTGTTCTTGGTCTATGACCAACCAGCCATTCAAACGCTCAATAGTAATTATATCAGGTCCTGCAGCATGATTACCCTGGGGGTGTGGGTGGACCAGATGGTTCGGACAGGAAACACCACAAAAGGACCGGAGGCATTGCCCACAGAGCTGATCCAGCTGATGGATCGGCTGTCCAACAGACTCTGAAAATTCCACCAGGTTTTGAGCCATACCTCGCCTAGCTCCGGTATGCACCCGCAATAGCTGCATAACAACATTAAATTTATTCAACGTTTTAGTGACATGCAAATGAGGTAACCTCAATAATACAACAGAAGCAGAGCAACAAAAAAGAGAAAGGAATTACTCTGCAGGAAATGGAACAGAGGTTAGATCGGCCCTTAATGCGGCGGCCACACTGTAGGCACAGTCCCTGATAACGAGCATCAACAACTGGAGGGGGCAGAATAGGAATCCATAAAGCACCATTCATCTTAATTCTCTGAATCCCTGTCAAATTATATCCACATCCGATCGCGTCTTGCGATCGGATCGCAGGAGTGAAGGAGATTGTACTGATCTGTACATAGAAAAGGTCAAGAACTGTCAATAAGAAGTGAATAAACAGGAATGTTAGAGCTAACAGGAAATAAAATCACCAAAATTGAGGGCACTGCCTAGTAGCCTGGAAGACTACTGCTGCAAAAACAACAAGGATTAGGGATCAAGGACTTAAGAACGCATAACACAGCATTACTCTTAAAACTAGCAAACAAGGTACTCTCTGCAGAAGATGATCCAATGGCTATCTGGTTTAGAGAAAGATATCTGCAAAACGCAATACAGCTAAACCCCAGGGCCAGTGATACACCGACTTGGAAGCTCATCCAGTCACAATTCCAGATTCTAAGCTACACGACCCAGGTAAAACTTGGCAACGGCAAAACAACCCTCTTTTGGAAAGATAAATGGCTACCCCAGCGCATAGAGTTCGCATTCCCAGTTTTATTCTCTTTTGCACTACACAAGGATTGCACGGTTGAATCGCAATACAGGCAAAATTCCTGGAACATCCAGCTCCATCCAAACCTCTCCTACCAAGCAGAGTCAGAGCTACATGCACTGCTGCAAATCCTGCAAAACCACCGCCCCTACCCAGACAAAACAGACGCAAGAGAGTTTTCATACCCGGTACCTAAAATCTCAACAGCAAATGCCTATCGTCTGCTGTCCTTTCATGGGTCACTTTGGATTCCAGCAAATTATATTTGGCTCCACACCATCCCACAAAACGGCAAGGTTTTCCTCTGGCTGGCATTCAGGGACAGATTAAACACCAAAGCCAATATGGTCAACAAAAACTGGAACGAAGACCCCCACTGCTCTTTGTGCCCTGCGCTAGAAACAGCTGACCACATCATCTTAGAGGGTGCAGACAGGCCAATAGCCTCTGGGAAAAATTGAATTTACTACCGCTAGCCAACAACTCAGATTCTATCTCAGCCTTCCTCCAGGAAATTATGAACAGAAATCAAACACTGAAAGGAATTGAGCCAGTTTGGTTTGCTGCCTGCGCATATACTCTATGGAAAGCACGCAACAACCGGGTGTTCGAAAGACAATTTGACAGTCTACAATGAAGTATTCAACAGGTCTCAGACACCATGCATACAGCTCTGGAGCCTAAGGACCAATGAAACAAATAAACAAAAAATTCAATCTTGGTGCTCACGGCTTTCCTAGAAGAATGCTACATGTACATATATCTGTAAATTCTCCCTTTTTCTGTTTTGGTTTGTTCTGCTTTTTGCTCTTTTTTTCTCTCTGATAATTCCCACACCTAATATGTAATCTGTAAACCTCATTTTAATTAATCTTCTCAAGAACTCCTAACCCTAACAGAAGAACCCCAAGAACCCCAAGAACCCCAAGAACTCCAAGAACCCCAAGAACCCAAAAACCCCAAGAACTCCAAGAACCCCAAGAACCCCAAGAACTCCAAGAACTCCGCGTTGCTTGGCGTGGCTGCGGGCTGCGTCCCCGCGGCCCAAGCGGGTGAACGGGGCGAGGCGGCGCAAGATTACCTCGCAGACGAACCACCCCGCCGCGCCGCCGCGAACATGGACCGCCGCCTCGCGTGTACGCGTCTGCGTGTGTCTAAAGCTCTCGCGTGGTAGGTACTGGCCGCGGCTGACCCACCCTGCCCTCATGGCCTCATTTACTCTCTCAATGCCACCTGGACCAACCAATTCGCAAGAAGCGGAACCTTTTTTTTTTTTCTCTTTGCGAGTTTGCGACCAACTAATCCTACGTGTCCAAGTCCAAGAAGTCGAATTCAACAAGAAGTCAAAGAAGTAAGAATTCAACAGTAGTATACCCGCGCTGGTGACGGTCCCTGATCATGATGAGTATTCCTGTGATCAGCACAGCAGCGGCTGCACACAGCTGAGGCACACTGGAAGCAAAACAACGACGTCATGCACGCTCCTTCCCAGTCCGTGTCGACAAGTCTATGCACCACTCGATCATCCATCGCTCTCTCACCCTTGGCTACTTTTGCCGTGAATTGTGATTGGGAAAATAACGTGTCACACGTTGGGATTGGGATATATATAGAGCGACAAATACACTAACAGACTATGTACCGTTGTATATTGATGGAGGAAAATGTTGCATTACCATGGTAAAATACGATTTTTCGCATTCACCCACCATGTAGGGTGTTACTCTATTATATCTAGGGTTAATTGGATTCATGCCATCGTAAATATTCCATATTCAAAAAATGCCACTACTATTCATGAAATCGGATAGATGCCACTGTAATCTTCTAAAATTAGAACAATGCCACTCCATCACGATTTCCGTCGTCTCTGTCACATTTTCTGCCACGGTGCCTTCATCTCCTTGCCGTCTTTGTCTCCAAGCAGCTACCCTGCGCCAGAGGAGAAGGAGGGAACGATGGTGGATGCGGAAGGGGAACGATGTGAGGAGAGCTCCTTGGCGAGGGCGGCGGCGAGCGGGACGCGCATCCCGCCGCTCGCTCGCTGCTCGTCGGTGCGGGGGATCTCTCCCGAGGTCCCACCGTCTCTCGCCGTTCCCACCGCTCGTCGGTGCGGGAAGAGGCGGTACCTGCAGAGGGCGGCGATGGAAGGACCTGGAGAGGACGGACGGCCGACGGTGGCAGGACGACACTGTTGAACAGCGGCGAATCGGAGGGAGGGGTCGGCATCGGCGGGTAGAGGAGGTCAAGGAGAACCCATTCAATGGCTTCGATTCATGCGTGTATGAACATCGGCGGCCAGCATTGAGACACTAGCGATGGTGGACAGTTCAGCGAAGAGCGTGCCCGCCTCGGTGACGTCGGAAAAGACGACGCGGGAGGGGGTGAGGTCCGCGACCACCTCGTCAGGGCCATTGCAGCCGTGCAAGCCGCTTTGGGAGCACGCGATGACAACCATGGGGTGGACCCGGCGGAGGAGCTCATGGACGACGAAACTCCCAATGTAGCCCGCGACACCCGTGACGAGCGTGGTGGTCTCTGACGACGCCTGTGACCGGAAGGGCTGCACCGCCGGTCGAGCAGAGGAGGAGAGGACCAGACGAAGAGGAGGATGAGAGGAGGAGGGCGGCCATGGCGGCAACAGAGCAGGACTTGGATCCAACGGGAATGATAGAAAAGTGGATGGCGATGGTATGGTTGTAATTTTACAAAATTTCAGTGGCATCAAACGGATATCGCGAATAGTAGTGGTATTTTTCTGATTTGCTACATTTGTAGTAGCATATGGGTCCAATAATCTATGTTCTTCCTCGAGCTACTTCATTCATATTGATTTTTGTTGGTGATCATGGAATCCGTCTGTATAGATCGTTCGAGTACTATACATATGTTTTTTTTACTAGTGAATTATAGAGATACAGGTCATTCTTTCTTTTTTCTACTTGCAGGATAAATTAGCTAGCCAATCTTTCTTCGATGGTGTATATCTTCCATTACATAGTCTCGATTTCATGTGTCTAGGGTAAAAAGGGGTGTTTGTAAAGGTCGATCATATAGCCTCGATTTCATGTTTCTTAGATACAAAGAGTACATGAGATTTCGTCATAAATATTTTATATATGCCAATTTAATTAGATTCAAACTTCACTGCCAGAGAAAAAGGGCCTTCACTCCCGGTTATACAACCGGGACCATGAATCTGGGACCAAAAATTCATCTTTAGTCCCGTTACGAACCGGGACAAAAAAATCTATCAGCCACGTGGCTGAAGTTCCCAACTGTACTCTTTTTTTTATTTTATTATTTATTATTTTTTGCTACTTATATTGATTTCAAACCAATCTCAACAACAAAATCATCCCATTCACAAAACGTCAGAAAATCATCCACAACTTCATAGATCCAATGAACATACTCCAATTGACATCACAAATTCACAGATCCACAGTGTGAACAAATTCACATCACAAATAAACAAATTCACAGGAAAAATTCGCATTCGCACATGCCGCCGCCGCTCTCCGCACAAGCCACCGCCCGACGCTGATCCACGCCTAGCGCCACGCTGGCTGCCGCTCCCGCCCAGCGCGTGCAGGCTTCCCCGCTCGGCGCTACTCCCTGCCTGGCGCCATGCTGGCCGCCTCCGCCGCCCGACATGGCTCCCAGCGCGCGCATGCGCCCCCGCCCGGTGCCGCGCTGGCCGCCGCTGCCCGGCGCAGTGCTGGCCGCCCCCGCTGCCCGGCGCCGCGCACAGGCGCCGCCGCCGCCCGGCGCCGCGCTCGCCCGGTGCTGCGCCTCGCCGCTAGAGATGAAGCTAGAAAAGAAAATAAGAGGATGAGAGAATAGAGATAAGATAGAGAGGAGAGAGAGAGAGGAGTAAAGCTAGTTACAGATGAGGAGTAGTTTGTGTGGAGATGAGGATAAGTGCTAGGGATTATGGGCCTGTTTAGGGGAGCTTTTAGCAGCTGCAGCTTCTCCTAGAATCTCCAGTTGCCAGAAGCTCCCCCAAACAGTCCAGCTTTTTACCTAGATTCTGAGAATCTGTAGTTGTAGAATCTAGAAAATGAATTAGAAGTCAGAAGCTGAGTTCTAGTTCCCAGCTTCTCTAGATTCTCACCAGCTAGCTTCTCAGCAGCTGTTTCTCAGAATCTTAAGCTCCCTAAAACAGGCCCTATATACGGTGCATTTATCTTTATTCTCGGAGTTGGTGGGACACCTGACCTATTTTGAAACGGGACTAAAAATGATCTTTAGTCCCGGTCGATAAAGATCTTAAAATTTTAAACCGGGACTAAATAATATCTTTAGTCCCGGTTCCTACTCGAACTGGGACTAATGTGGATTTTGCATGACCCATCAAATATCAGTTCCAGTAATGTTACTGAGACTATATATTAAAGGTAATACTTAATAACAACTTGTGTACCTATTTTCTAAATCGTGTTGTAGTATACTTATTTCTAGTCCTTAATAAAAATGCTAAAAATTATTGGAAATTTTAAGATAGTTACTAGAAACAACGGCGCGGCCTTGCCGCGCTCAACTGACATTGGACCAATGTAATTTGTCGAAATTAACAGTAGCTATTACATTAAGAAAAATCAATTATATACCCCTCCAAAGATCTCCATGCGGCTTATGCACCGTAGGTCCATAACAACTTGTGATTTTGCTAGGAACCAGCAGTATTCACTTCCCTTGCGAAAATCGATTATGTGCAGGAATAATTTGCTGCTGCTGCTGCTATGCTCTAGAACTCTTTGGCCACTGCAAATCCTGGAGTTGTGCCCATTTTTTCCACAGCTAGAGCACTTCCTAGCCATGCTTATTAATGATTGATGATGGAAGATGGAACAGATGGCACAATAAGCTCAACATAGAGTTCTTCTCCCTGTCCCTGTGGCTAGATAATTAAGCTGGTGTGTGTAAAGTGTTATAGCTAGAGGCTTAATAAAGGGGCAATAAAATGTAATAGGGGCTAGTTGGGAAATCATCTAGCACTCCCGCGTGAAAGAAATGAACATCTTGGCATCACCTCCCTATGGTAGACATTTCAGGGAAAAAATATGTCCTATTTTTTTTCAAACATGTGTATAGAACCAACCGAATGAGTACAGGTGTCTGTTAAACTGAAAATGGGATAGTCCACATGAACGTATTAAGGATGGACCATCAAGTTGCTAATTAAGGACAAAAAGGAAGAGCACATGATCAGGTGCGTTCAACAACAAACCTTTATTTCCACAGTTTCACTGCCATCTTAAAAAGTCATTGTATCACTGAAGTGCAGTTGTGCTCTGCAAATTATATATAACTCGTGGAAGGTAAAAAAAAATCGCTATAAATAGACGAAGTGTGATCAAAACTTTCAAAAATGACACAATTGCTAGCTGCGGCAGCTGGCAGATTCTTTTGTTACCCCTGCTTGCACTTAGGCAAGTCATTCCTTGCAGTTGTAAACAAATAACATTTGTTGTTTGGCAAATTTAAATTTGTAAACAACATACATCAGGTCATTCCCTGCTAATGTTTCCCATATTTCCAGCAATTGACAGTATATATGAAGAGTATGAATTAGTTATGTGAATATCTGAAATTTAGAATGCACTAAACAGAATAGAGAACTTCAAAATAAGCCTTATCTGTGTTCATCACACAACCACCTAACAAAATTCGTTGTGCACTAATATAAAAATTCAAGTTTAGCAAGAACAGACCAACATTTTGGCTATTCACTTCATACAAATAGAATGAAAGGTGAATGCCAGGTTGAGGGACAAACCAATAGAAAGCTGAGTATTGCACTGTTGGTCCAATTTCTCACATATTTTCATGCAAAATTATAAAAGAAACTGTATATTCAGCACAAACCAAACCAATGATATGCAATGTGAAGACATTAATTTTTCAAGGAACAGTTTCTGTTACAAGCATGACATACATTCCTTTGTAATCACAACTCGTCCAATAGAAAACTGAGATATTATTTTCCTTCATGGAAGTTTGCATTGCATCTTCCAAGTGTTGGCTCAGTGCTTTCATTTACCATGTAGTGAGAAGGCCAGGGTATAACATATCTGTTGAAACATGTGGCATGACTAATTAAGAGCATTACAAGCAAAATTACCTTCAGCATATAAGAAAAAAAAATAGCAGCTAACTGGAAAGGGACAGTATAGTTAAGAATACAAACTGGAAAAGGAATGTATGTCATGCTTGATTAATTCCATAAGTAAATTACTTCCGTAGTTGCATCTCCATGTTCTCAATGGATGACAAACTGTAAATTATCGAAGACATAAATATAGACTGTCTATTACATAGACATACATTGTTCAAACCTGAAATGATCACAGCTTTTGATAAAGGTCCATTTCAATTTTCTGATAAGTGCATCTCAAAATTATAAGATAGATCACATCACAAAGTAGCTACAGGTTTTGACCAGCTTTGACCCTCATTTCATCTACATATCAATGTTCTGACCTCTAACCTTATGGGCAACTACCTGCAGCTAAGCTAGATCCAAGAATACAAATCGGAATGTTATAATACATGCATAAACTAATGCCACACTCTACAACAGAAGAAGACCTCAGATCTTCTAGCGCAGTAATGATTTGCTCACGCACAAGCTCCATACTCTTCAAATAAACCTCCAGATTGAGTATCTGCTGCTGCCACCCAATCTTGGGGTTAGCCCCCCCCCCCCCCCCCCTACCCCCAAAATCTCATTCCCAAGCTCATCGCTGAAGCAGTCTACCCAGCCACAGCGATTGAACTGATGAACTCCTTCAGAAGCGGTGACGGAGTTGGAGTGCTTTGGACAGCCTCCTCGTTTCGTTGGCACCCCTGGCATATGCGCAATTAGCGGAGTTGAGTTCTCCATAGCAGCAAGGAGCGGCTTTGATGAGCTCTATCAGTTGAAGTCAATGCAGGCGTCAAAGGCAATGCTGGGGCCTCCGGCTCAGTTTTCGTTTCGTTTGAAACAGCAAATCGCTACACAGCCAACAATAACCAGTAGGAGTATTTCAAAATAATCTAAGGAAGATTACTGACAAAGTGACAAGTTTATGCACACTTAGGGAGTGTTTGAGGAGAAGGGGATTGAGGAGATTGGGAAGATACACAAAACGAGGTGAGCCATTAGCTCATGATTAATTGAGTATTAACTATTTTAAATTTTAAAAATGGATTAATATGATTTTTTAAAGCAACTTTCCTATAGAAATTTTTTGCAAAAAACGCACCGTTTAGTAGTTTGAAAAGCGTGCGCGCGAAAAACGAGAGCCAATCTCCCCTATCACCCCTAAACGAACGATGCCTTAGCGAGCTAAGTTTGAAAGCATAGCAAGCTATCCTCCATTACTTCAATTGCAACAGGGCACCTGAAAATATGATACACAATTCCTTCATATAACAACAAAAAGACATAACTCACACAAATGGTTGACCATCGGGTCTGCTCGCCTTCTTGGCCAGGGCGCTAATCGTCACGCTCGGCCGACGCGCGCAGGCTCGTCGCGGGGGTCGCTGTCGCGCGCAACGCCGTAATTGCCGCGACCAACCTAAGGCTGGCGCGCGCGCTCGCTGTATACGCGGTGCTCCGGGTGGCGATGGTGGTCCGGCGCTTGTCGCCAGGGCGCTCGCCGAGGGAGGATGCGCTAACCTTCGCAGCACGATGGTCGACGCCGGAGACGCCGTGCTCGGCAGGTACCCGCGCGGCCGCAGCAAGTGGAGGCGGAGGGGGTAGAGAGACGGCACGGAAGGGTAGAAATAGCTCGTCATCGTGACGTCGACCTCGTCGCGCGACTCTGGGAGGAACGCGCGACGGCCGCCGCAGCCGTGCTGTGGACGCACTCCACGCCGGTGGCGAGCCTCATCCACCTCACGTCCAAGAAACGCGTAGTCCTCGGCCTCCTCCAATTCCGGGTGAAACTCCCGCGCGCCGTGGGATCTGCCTGGCCCCGCGAGGCCGTAGCCGGTGGTGGCCGCCGAGAGGCCGCGGACGAGCGCGTCCGGTGGAGAGATCAGGGCGAAACGGGCGAAACGGGCGGAGGTTTGTGGCGGCGGCGCACGGGAGGGGATGAGGGAGCAGAGGATGGGTGGATAGGGATTGCTTTGCTTCTGCAAAAAGACTCTTCAAACATGGTATATTACAACGAGGTCCACAACAGCGAACCATCACCGTCGATCAGCGATCCGACGGCCGCGCGTGGGGACCAAATGCTAGAATCGCGGTGCGCCACGTGGCGGGGCTTTTTGCACGGGAATCCGCCCAGAATTCGGTATTAGAGATTAGTGCCGCTTTTAATGAAGTTTAAAGTTTAAACAGACCCATTCCTTTTGGTATATCTAGTTTAATTAATATTTTGGCAGGAGCCATATACGTGCATTTGTTTACGCGCGCGTGTGTATATATAGATATGTGTACTCCTGATCTCATCCACCGTTCATCCGCAACTAGCAGATCGATCCACGCTACCGGATCCAGATACAGAACCCGTTTCGATTTTGGTTAAAAAAAAGTCGTATTAGTTAATTACGCCGCACTAACCGGAATTATCCGGAACAACTCGCATTAATATCCAACTAGATGCTGGTGCGCGGCCCGCCTGCATATAAAAAACAATCAGTTCATAAATAAATCAGTGACATCATAATTTAGATTAGCTCATTCGTGCATATTAATAGTATCCTAATCAGTAATCATCTTGCATGATAAAAACAACAAATATCATACGATAGCTACAAAACAATGGGCAGGTCACTATCAACGTTGAGCATTCATATTCAAACTTCAGTTTGTTAAATAAGGATAGAAGCTTATACTTTGGAAGAGGAGTGTCTCCCAGCTTATCCAATAATAATGCTCATCCTGTATAGGGGCATAAATGGTCAGAGAGTACAAATCTTTTCCCATAAGGGCAGATAATATTCAATAAAAATCTATTGAAATAATTCATTAACAGAAAAGTCAGATGCTACAATGTCACAAATATTCTGCCAGTTCAACTGCACGTTGTTTCTATACTCCCTCCGTCACCTAAATTGAAGGAGTTAAATTTTATCCCAAAACAATAGAAGAATTTATACGTAACCGAGACAAAGTGATTTTTTAAATACTATCACGATAATCTCCAAAATACCATATTATATTTTGACAAAGTGTACTGCATGCTAGTTCGGTGTCTGGTTTGTTTTCAACACCGATTGTTTTTAATCACATGATACACCTTTAGTAACTTAGAGAATACGTATGTACATTTAAATTTAAATTAGTGTTGTATATTCATCAAGTGTTTTTTACAACTAAAATATGATGTAAAATTATTATCATAACATTAATTATTACATATCGGCTCCATATGTTGTGATGTATTTAGGGTTACAGACATTAATAGTTTATTTATTTAAAAGAATACAATGGAATCACAAATTGGATATATAATTTTGAAATAATGTAAAAGATTGAACGCTTAAAAAGATTTGATTGGGTATTTTATATTTATATTTGCGTAAATTATATATTATTATATTTTATCTTTAAATTGTAGAAAATTTTATTTTAATGATTGTCGTTTTTTTAGGTTAATTTATCGAAGTACATGCATATGGTTTTTTTGTTCTTCTGGCAAAAGATACATGAGCATTATTCTTGTTTTCAATGATATGTACGTATGGTTTCGGGTCAACAGTTATATATTTCTTATTTCTTATGTTTATGTATATAGGAGAAATATGTTATTTCTAAATAATAAATCTAATCTAATGGTGTAAAATAAAACAAAAATTGTGTTGTTTTATTTTTACATATGCAGATTTAAATTGGCATTGCATATCGTCAAGTGATACTTGACACCCCAAAATATGATCCGAAATAAAAAAATATCATAGCATTAATTATTATATATATCAGCCTCCTATGTTATGATAGAACGTTTAAACATCATAGATTGGATATTTCATATTTATAATATAAATCTGGTTTAACTATGTATATTTACATAAATTTGTAGAGTAATATATTTATCTTCAAATAGTAGAAAACACTGTTTCAAAAGGCCATCGATCTTTTTCCAATGATAGGCATTTTTTTTGATTTTATTGTTTTTATAGGAAGTCCATGTGTAAATATTGGGTTCACCAATCTAAGGGATCGACACTGATATTTGTTTAAATTTATAGAGTAATTTATTTTATCTTTAGATAGTAGAAAATTCTATTTTAAATATCATCGATTTTTTTCAATGGTACTACGCATGTATGTTTTTTAAAGGAGTACAAAGGGATCACAAAATCGAATATATTAATTAAAAATATTTTCAAATGTGAATGCTTATAGAATGTTAATTTGATATTTTATATTCTTTTATGTCAGGTCTAGTTGATGTATATTTGTGAAATAATATAATTTATTTTTATATGTAGAAAATTCTATTTTCGATTTGTTTCGATGGTACTATGTACATATATTTTTTTGGCTTTATTTTTTCACACGTTGCTTTAATTTTTTTTTATCATAAATGCGCTGGCACGTTGCTCTTTCCCAGTTTTACATACTTATATTTATGGCCTGTTTGGCACAGCTCCAGCTCCAACTCCACCTCTCCTAGAGCTGGAGCTCAGCCAAACAGTTTCAGTTCCACCAAAACTGGGGTGGAGTTGGGTGGAGCTTTCTCACAAAATGTACTAGAGTTGTGGAGCTGGGTTTAGACAGCTCCACAACTCTACTCCAGACTCAACTCCTAGAGTTATATTTACGAGTTGGAGCTGTACCAAACAGGCCCTTATTTTCTCAGCGAACCAATGAACAGTAGTTAAGTTTTATCCTTTTTTAGCCATACGTACGTATTTATGGAGTACTTATGTTTTTTTGGCTAACAATAAGGTATTAGTTTCTTTTAAATAAAATACATCTAATCTAATCTAATCTAATGGTTTAAATTATGGGGTCCACCGATTTAAGTGAAAATCAACGGTGAGATTAGGCATTGCCACATAGCGATCTAGGAGCGTTTGTAGAAATGTCACGTGGCGGCATAAGAGCGTTTGTAGGAAGTTCAGTGGACTTTTAGTATAACTAGGAAGAAAGCCCGCACATACGCGCGGGCATCGTATTTAATGTGTCTTGTACTTAAAACCAAGAAATCTTGAATTATAGGAAACTATTGTGATGCGACAATAGAGTTGGTTCCTATGAACTACTATTTGTACTATATATGTTTTTATTGGAATACTTAGCAAATCTTCCTTTTTGAGCTATATAATTTAAGAAATTCACATAGGTTTTTAAGAAGAGTTGTTGAAATTTGACCAAAAAAGTATGAATTATAATATTTTGTAAGATTTTATTTATAAAAATAACATATTTCAATTATATTGGTCCTGCTAAAGTGGTTTTGATTTCTGCAATTTATATTGGCTTTGAATTCAACAAAATTTGTTTAAATTTAGCCCAAATTTTATTCAAATTCCAGTTTTCCTTTCCATTTCTTATGGAACATTGGATATTTATGTTATATCAGTTGTTCTTGAAATGCTTTTGATCTCTAAAATTTGGGAAGAAAACATAATTGTATTGAGTGTTCAACTCAGTATAGGGTAAAGGCATCATGTGTTTTACTTCCTCCATTCTCTTTTTTGGACATCGACGCACACTCCAATATACATGTTTCATTTTCATTATTACTGTTTTAGCTATATATTTAGAAAAGCAATAAAAATATAACTATAGTAAAGCACTTGTCATGACGAATATATCAATATTATTTTTTTCATATAATCATAGTTTTCTTATTAATTAAGATTTTGAGGTTTTACTGCACACTTCTAGGACGACACATATGTGAGAACTGAGGTAGTAACAATCTATTAGTATCATTTTTTCCATATCAAACCATTTTTTTATTTACCAACGACTTAATATTTCGAGGTTTAATTGCGCACATTCTAGTAACATCTGTTTGAGAACTGAGGTAGTAATAAATTACAACCAAATGGAATCTGCTGTACCAAATTCATATTTCTCGAGTATCATATGGTGTATACCACAAATTTAAGTGATTGATTTGATATGTCGCTAATGGCACCACATGACTGTTTTCACTATCATGATTCATTCATGAAACCTACGTGCTTCCTATTACCTATATATATCATGATGTTGAATGTCTTGTATTTTAAATTTGTTGGCTATGAAAGATAGATTCCGGATAAGGAACATAGTATAATGTAGAAAAATGATACCATTCTAAGATTTTTTCCCCCCCTCTTATTACAGACTTCACGTTTTGTATTAGACTAGAAATATTGGCGCGCTACGCCGCGCCTGACCATGATGCCGCTGAATTGAGTATACATAATTGCTCAAACTGGTTCAAGAGAATTAACAATTGAACATTGTATCAAGCATAACTGTCGCAATATATTGAAGAGACTTAATTACCATTAACTTGTACACACAACAGAAGGCTGTTTGCAAGTTTGCTTTGGCACATATATCTAAAAGTAGAGAAATCAACACATTGTGTATTGGTAAACTACAGTGTTCACTTGATGGTGAACAATCAGATCATCTTTGTATTGGATCAGTGTTAA